TCTCTCTCTCTCTCTCTCTCTCTCTCTCTCTCTGTAGGCCCAGGGCCTGGCACGCAGGGAGTGGTCAGTGAAGGGACCTGTCCAGCAACAACGGAGGTACAAGAGTGAAAAGATGGGCCCCCATGCCTAGTGAATTTACCAGCGGATGCAGGACTTCTGAGGTTTTTACCGGTAGCATCCCTTTTCTTGTAACTTTAGAAAACCATTCATGCCTTCCCCTCAAGCTATATAACTGGGAGTAGCTGACCCCCTTCCTGGAGCCAGGGAGAGAGCTTATGATACCACTTGGGCAATCACAGCATTTCTTTGCTCTGGCCACTGACCAGTTGGGGGATGGGCACATGACCAAAGCCATCCAACGCGGCTTTCGCTAGTGGGAAGAGATGCTCTCTTTCTGCTGGGCGGTAAGCTAGTGGCTTGTAGCCCTGGAGCTAACAGGGGCCGCCTTTGCCAACCCAGAGGAGACCAGAGCAGAAAGACGGAGAAAGGAAGGCTGAGTCCTAAGACACTGTCTGAGCTCCTGGAGCAGGACATTCCCAAAGCAGTCTTTATGCTTGGACTTGTTTACATGAAAGGAGCCAATACACCCCCTTTCGTGCTGAAGTGGGTCCCCGCTTTCTGTCATTTACAGCCAGATGACTCTTGATGAATACAGATCGACAGACAAACAACAAAGCGATGACAGGGCAGTGAGTCACCGGTTTGAGGGGAAGCAGGAGGCCTCAGGGGCAGGGAAGAGGCAGCAGCTGGACCGGGAGCTCGGGAAGCCTTCCTGGATGAGGTCGCGTCTCAGTTGGAGCCTGTAGGCTGAGTGGCTTCAAGCTAAGGAGAGGGGTGGCAGACGCGAGAGAGACACGCTGCCCTGAGAAACTACCCTCAGACTAGAGCTGACCTGCACACGGAAGGGACATGCCGGCTCGTCTAATGGACAAGTGCAGAGGAGCCTGCTTCAGGAATGACTGGATCCAGGAGCTCGCCTTTAGGGGACACAGTGTAAGGGCTGTGTGTTGGTCCAGGCACTGATCAACGTATCAGGGCACCTGTCCTTGAGACTCTTCCAGTGGAGTTGGGAAAGGAGATAAAAATTTGTTCAATGATTTCTTTTTACTGAGGCCCTGTGATGAGCCAGTCCCTCGCCTCCCAGGCGGACATTAGCCCCAGTGGACATGGCCTCTGGGTGTTGGATGCCCAGGCCATTATCCATGGACCAAACACAGCAAAGAATGAAAAACGTGCACCTGAGGTATGGGTGTGGCATTGGGTGGGGAAGTGGGGGTGCCTGTAGACAGTTGCCTCTGTGTGTGCGCCCATGGAAGGCGTAAGTCCTATTCCATAATGGCCCTGCCTGGCTGATCAGCACCTCCCTCCATCCTTCTCTACCTTCCTCTCATCATCCCTCCCCAAGTGCCCCCATTCCCACCCTACTCCTGGTTTCTGGAAATGCCCCAGTGCTCACACTTCTTGTAAGGGAACTCAGTCCCTAGCAAGCACCATGTCTGGTATAGAATAAGCATTCCTTGCTGATTGGCCAGCAGAGGTCACCTGACCCCTGGGCTGGCCAATGGCATCCACTGGAGGACACCTGGCCCACAGCTGGCCAATGGTTTCCACCAGGACTTGGAGGGGAGAGATTTGTTCTCTGGAGGTTTAGCTAAGAAATCCTGAGATCAAGGCTGAGGCGGGAAGGTTCTAGAAAGGTCAGGTGGTAAAGAGGTTAGGAGGCCATGATAGGCCTTGAGGAATTCAGGTCTTGAGTGAGGAGAAAAGAGTGGGAGCCTTGATGGAAGGTGGTCCAGGAGGGAGTTGGGAGTGTGGCCTGGGCCCTGCTGGCTGCCTGAGTCCTGTTCCCATCAGCCCACCTCCCCTCAGCACCCTGAGGGGCCCAGGGGGATGCCCCTTCTGTCTGCCCCTAGCCACCCGCAGACCCAGCCTTGGCGCAGCCCAAGTGCTGACTCACGTTGGCCACACATCATGAGGCAAGGTCAACAAGGACGTTTATGGGACGTGACAGCACAGTGCAAGGGCTCCACTGGCTCCCTCCTGGCCTCGGTTGAAGCAAGTCTATCCATGGACCCTTTATTCAGAACCCCACCTCCCCCTGGGGACCCCACATCTGGGGTTCTATCCACTCAGGGGCAGTCTTCTGCAGCTTCCGGATCCCTGCTTTCAAGAGTCACAGCTTCCAGGTGGAAGGTTAACGTGGAAATGTCAACATCAGTGTGACTCACGTTGTCAGGGAAATTGTCGCTGGGCTGAGCAGCTTCTGAATGAGGAGCTGGGGAAGAGATGTGGCCAAAGGAATGCGTGAGCCACCTCACCTCGAATAATCAAGGCAATGTGGTTCACTGGGGACCAAGGCCACTCTCTCTGGCCACAGGCTTGCCAGGTGGATTGACTTTGTGTCTCCATCTCTGAGGCACCCTCCTTTCTCATCTGGACCATTACAGCAGCTCCCTGCTTCCCCCAAGTCCTCCCTTTACTTGGTCCCCAAACTGTCTTCAGCGACACTTTGAAATCCTGCTTAAACTCTCTGGGGGTGCCACAGCTCACTCCTCTAGGCTTCCTGGCTCTGAGAGACCCTGCCCTTGCTCATCAGTCCACTCCCTCTTGCTCCCTAGCATCCTACACACGGTCCTGAACAGGGCACCCTTGTTCCCACCTCAGGGCCTCTGCATTTGCTGTTCCCTCCACCTGCAATGCTGTTCCCTCCACCTGCAGCACTGTTCCCGCCACCTGCAGTGCTGTTCCCTCCACCCGCAATGCTGTTCCCTCCACCTGCAATGCTGTTCCCTCCACCTGCAGCGCTGTTCCCTCCACCTGCAATGCCATCCCCAGAGCTTTGCTTGGCTGGCCCCTTCTTCCCAGAGCCTTCTCTAATTGTCTGGTTATGGCAGCTTCTCCCTGAGCTGCCCAGGTTTTTTGTTGTTTTTTTGTTTTATTTTGTTTTACAGTGCTGGTGTTTCTTTGAAAAGCTTGATTGCTTTGCTTTATGAGTTGTCTCTGTTCCCTACTGGGCTATGACCCCCATGAGCAGGAAGTATTTATCTGTTTAGCTCATGGCTGTATCTCCAAGTGAGGGAGCATTTGAGGGCAAGAGTGGGACCACAGTCAGTGAAAAAAATGAATGAACTACTTCTTCTTAATACTTGAAAAATGGAAGAAGCTTAAAGTGGCTCCAGCATTATTTCTTGGGAAGAATCAGTAGACTGGGTGACTTAGGGGGGGATGGGTGAGAATAGGGGAGGGATATCATCATGTTCCAGAACCTTCCACGGAGGGCCAGCTTCATGGGCATGTGGCCTGGTCAGGCTATTCTAGTCATCCGAATTTTACAGGTGGCGGAAACAGGCCCAGTGACGGGTTAGGCCACTCAGGCGAGAAAGATCTGACGTGATGCCCTCTAACGCCCACTTTGCTGTGATGCCCCACTCACGCCCTCCCAGACTCTGGGAGATGGGAGACTCAGGGGGTCCAGGCTTACCTGCGTCCTCTGCCGGCTCCCCAGGGTCCCCATCGCTGTCTTCAGGCCCTGCCCCTCCTCCTGGACCAGCTGCCCCCAGGCTGACTCTCATCCTGTTGCTGTTGCCAATGGCTGCATCCTCCAGGAGGCAGGAGCTGATGTGGACTTTTTGGACCACGTTCCCCGTGTCCCCCTCGGTGTGAGGTCTTGGCGTGGGCATTCGAATTTCGAATGAAGCTTCTGAGCCAGCAGTGGTGGCAGAGGCTATGGGTCAGCCAAAGAGAGAGATGCCGGGAAGGGTGTGTGAGCAGCTGGGTGGTGGCCCAGAGCCGTACCCTTAGCCTGGCTTTTAAGTCCTCCATGGCCGACTCTCTC